AAAAATTTCATTTGAAGAATAGTTTTGCCAAATCACGAAATCCACGCGAGCGAAGCCGTGGGGAAAAAGTTATTGTTGCATATTGGGTGGTATTCCACGTACAGAAATAAGTCGAAAATATAGAATAAAATTTTATCGTATAATGTTTTATTTCTGAGATACAGTAGAACGCCGATTACAAACTAATGGGAAGACAAATCCGTTAGAATAAATGGTTTTTGGGATAATGTAAGAGAACCAAAGTTTAATACATATACAAAAACGATAAGAAATTAATTAATTTTTAATAATAATAACATAAATAAACGTTTAAACGGCACCTAACGACTATTATTTTAGCTTTATCATTATTTTCTTCAACAAGAATAAATGAAGCAATATATCTTGGATTATCTTTACGTATTTGAAATCCAATATACTGTATTGTCAGTCGAAGTGCTGCATAATACATTTTAAGATTGCTTAAGAATAAAGGATAATATGTTTTACCGTGTTTCTTCCGAACTAATTCCTTCAGAAAACATTCGTGACTCGTTTCGTGTACCCGGTAATCTGTACTTGAGACGATCGACGTGTCCGATAATATAATCGACATTCGAATAATCGGTTTTCAACTGTAATCGAATCTGAAAATCAGCTGGATACGGGTGAAATTGAATTGGACTTGGCCAACGCGTCTGTTCCTTACATTCTGTTTCTACTTGTTGTCAGCATGGATACATATACAGGGTGTCCCAAAATATCTTCGACTCCCGAAAATGAGGATTTCCTGGGAAGATTTGAAACAACTTTTCCCGTAGCAAAAATGTTATCCGAGGATTTGTTAACGAGATATTTTAACGAAAAACCACGACCAATCAGATGGACGACTGTTATTAACGAGTTTTTCGTTAATATATAGTTAACAAAGCCTCGGATAACATTTTTGCTACGGGAAAAGTTGTTTCAAATCATCCCAGGAACCCTTCATGTCCGTGAATCGAAGATATTTTGGGACACCCTGTACAATACTGGCGGCCAAACGTATCGAACCAGATCTAATAAGTGATTATTCTATAAAGATTCTATAAAACTAGTGTGCCAAAGCTGATTGGAAATGATTTCTAGATGCACCGATTCCGTATCTTTCATTACATAATAACAGAATGATAACTAACAATAGTGTACACGTTGGATGAACTTTCAAATTCGATTATCCTAGAAACGAAGCATCGTACGAAAAAAGTGTGTGGCACATTTTCAACTAGTATCCTACTTTGTGCTAGAATAATCTACTTTATTTCAAAAATCTTTAGATTGTTCTCAAAGAAAACCGGTTTGGCCTCTTTTCCCTATTGTCCTCGTAGATTTGGTGTATTTTGTAGCCAGCAACGAGGTCCTTCGAGGGTGTATCCCTGTCCCGTGAGCACTCCACGAACGTGAATCCAATCTAAACAATGACTCGAGATCGGAGAACGTCGGTCAGCCGCGGACTCGACCTTAAATGGTCACATTCTGCTGCGGGCAGGTGCGACGTGCCACTCGAACCACGTAATTTCTGGTTGCGTTTCGTTCATTCGTGTCCTCGTCGCCACGAATTCGATCTAGCCCTGGGGACTAATGGCGTTTCGTGGCGACACGCAAAATAACTTTTGATCAACGATCACGATGAGACACCCTATCGGGATATTGATCCGTGCACGGGTATCCTTATGTAATTATGAGAACGAGCCTCGTGCCCTGTGAAGCCTCCGTAATTGCTATTGAATCGTAGATGAAATGAGACATGCTGTTTTAAAAATTCATCCGACACGTGTGCATTCGTGCTGACATTAACATTCGAAATACCAAACCCGTCAAAATGACGGATTGCAGATTTCTTATTTTACGATTACCGAAATTCACGTTTATCACTTCATAATAGCACACGTAAACCACGTTTATCACTTTATAATAACATAAACGTTGTCGATCGAGCTTCAATATCCTTTAAACAATATTTACTTCAAACTTTTAACAATTTCGTAATGCCCTGTTACATTTGCCGCCTATAATTCTCCCGATACATTACTTACGAACGGGAGTGTAATTTATACAGGGTGTCCCAAAAATGTCCTCCGACCCGGAAATGGGGCACTCGGGGGGTGAATCGGAACAACTTTTTCCTTAGTAACAATGTAATTCTGAGGCTTCGTTACCGAGATATTAACGAAAAACCGCGACCAACCAGAGCAAAAATGTATAAATATGCATATAACTACTATACTCGAATAGTGTAATATAATAATCATGAGTAACAATAAACGCGTTAGAGAAAAATCTATTAAAAAACAGACCGTTTTCAGAATCTTTCACAAACGCTCCGACACCTCCGGATCATCAAGTCACACTTTCAAAGACGTGTCAAAAATCTTTCACCCGGCGAACGTTTGTTTTCCCGAACCGAAAAAGAACAGCCCCATTGTCAGAGCGCGCCAGAGAGTCCCAGCAGTAAAATAATTCGCAGGTGTTAAAGAAAATTTCCGTTCGCGCCAACCTGACGGATCCTTTTTTCCCATCGCGTCAGTTTCATCCGATTTTGCGTGGTTATACCAGCCCCGCGAGTCGCTCGCGGGAATTTCAAATCCCCCGTCTCGTTGGTCAAACGCGTCGCTGCAAAATCAGCCCGACGGGCACGTTCCCTCCTTGTTTTTTTTTCTTCTCTCTATTCCTTTTTTTTTTTTTGTTCAGCTACGCGTTCCTCCGTCCCGGGATGGATCCATTATTAAAGCGGAACGAGCCGAGTCGACGGGCCGATTACGCGAGCGCGGAAATTATGATGCCCCGGACCCGTTAAACGCCGATGAAAACCGATTTCCGAAGCAGGAACGAATGGTCCCTCCTTCCCCCACCCCTACCCTGCTCACATTGCGTCGAACACGCCGCGGCTGATTAGTCCTCTCTCTAAGCTACTCGCCTCGGGTCGCCCGCCGGAAAATCAATTTGCCCGAAGGAAAAGTAACTTTCACGGTGGTTAATTGCGTTCGGACGGTTACATGCGCCGGGAAACACTGCGTAAATAAAATGTAGACGAGCTGGAAGTCGACGGTGAATAGACCGTTCGTGAGAGAGGTGTAAGAAGAGAAATTGGTTATACACATGGTTTTGATTAGGTTGGCGGGAAATAAAGAGAACCTTAATATAGAGGTTGTCTTTGTTTCATTTTATATACTGGGTGTTCCGATTGAAACAGGCCATCTGAATATCTTCTCTATCTGTGATCATACGAGAAATATGTTTTATGTAATTTAAATGATTTAAGGGGAAGAATCAAATGGTGGAAGAAAGTATGTAAGTGAATTTAAAAGTTTTAGAGTTCAAGGTGATTTCAAGGTAATATTATTATATGTAGATAAATGAATAGTAATGTTGGTTATAACGTACAACAGGGAAGATAATGGGCAGATACGTAAAAAAACATGATCTTGAGACATTTTTTTTCAAGACACCTGAGTATGCATAAAATCTGCAATCTACCCATGATATACATTCAATATATTCATTTTATTTACCCACGAATTTTACAGTAAAGGCGTCTTATTTGTACATTTCAATGATTTTTTCACTCAGAGCCATTTTCAACTTTCTATATTTGTATCTTGTATATTTTTTGTTTAGCACTAATTTTTTTAAGTATTCCTTCTACGGTGCGAAGGCGTTTATAGTAATCACGAACGTACTGTTTACAAGATATATTAATTATCGATCACGTGAGGTGAAATTCGCATCGAAGTAAACAATCGTCGGCGAAACGAACGACGTGGACCGGGTACCATAAACAGGACCCAAAACGGGAATAAAAGGGTGCAATTAATGGACAGCCGAGCCAGGCTATCCCGAATTCTTATTATCTCCACTTGTGCTCGTCCACGAGTGTTATTAACAGCAGTGCAATTCCAGCCGTGGCGCGGGCAACTTTCCAACGGTGCAGCTCTTAAAAACGACACTTAAATCCTGTTTCGCGCCACCGATAAAGCTCTCGTACAAGCCACACCGATCCACTTAATTGTCTACGTATACCCGATATTTTAAACTAACACGTACACCGCCAGAAAGGACGCACGGAGTGATTCGACGACGATACTACCTAACCCGGAAGAATAAAACCTTTCTTTTTGTTGCGAAAGAAAGTATACGGGGTGTCTCAGCTAACTTGATTACCTCGAACAATGAGTTTACACTTTATGAAAATGTTGAGGCGTGGAACTTAAATGGCATCAAGGGGCACATCTTATAAGGTACGTGCTCTTTTTTGTTGGTGGAAGTATTTCAGAGATTTCAAGGTCACCTTGATTTTTTTTTAAACGGAATGACCCATTTTTTATACCGCAGATCGATAAAGTATCGAATTCTGAGTAAAAATGTGGTGACCTTCTTACGTCGTAATCCTAATAGGTAAAGAGATATTTACAAAAAATTAATTTTTAAGCCGTACTATTTTTCTTAAAATATCTCGTTAACTATTAGATTTAGGATGTTTGCAGATCAATACATTTTTACTCAGAATTTTAAGAAATCAAGGTGACCTTGAATGCCATTTAAATTCCACGCCTCAAAATTTTCATAGTGTACCGTTAAGTTATTATTCGAGGTGATCCAGTTAGCTGAGGCACCCTGTATATTTAATTTAAAAGAAGAAAATTGTCGACAAAATTTTGGGCGCAGACTTTGCCATAATTGACGGTTTCAGTATGTACAGTGAAATAGTAAATACTGCTGATATTTTAATACATTCAAGACGAAGTTTTCCGTTTACACTGTACAGTATCTTATTAAGATATCCGTGGAACACTTTGATATCTCTTACATCAGCTTTGACGAATTTTGGAAATGTCGAAGACGACGCGCAAAAGCTTTCGTTTAGAACCGTGTTGAGTTTACTACATACCTCGTTATATCGTCATTTATATGTTAACGATGTTACGTTTAAGATTACAATTAATTTGAGAGTTTGAAGTCTTTGATAACTTGCAATCACGTACCTTGTCACCCTCTGCGTAGCACCCCCGAGAACTGATCCTTCTTCCTTTAGGCTTGGATAGATCTGAAGGAAAGAGATCAATTTTGTCAGGAAACTTTATTCAACGTCATGAGACGCAAATGAAAAGGAACCAAAAAACGTGTAGTATATATATAAACAAATGTGAAACAAAGTTAAACCCAACTTATAGTATACAGAGCATATTATTCGGTGTACCAATAAGCAATCCACTATTCCTTAACAAAATTTCCAATTATTAAGTTTATTATTACCACCAATTTAGTAATCCACTATTCCTTAACGAAATTTCCAATTATTAAGTTTATTATTACTACCAATTTAGTAATCCACTATTCCTTAACGAAATTTCCAATTATTAAGTTTATTATTACTACTAATTTAGTAATCCAATATTCTCAACTTTATTCGTTTCGATAGATGTTAAGAATCTAGGTACATTGTTTAATTTATATTTATAGTGATTCTTTTCTTACGCTACACCATTCTTAAAGAACGAAAGATCGAGAAAGATATTTTCAATATAAAATACATATGTCGGTTCACGATTAAAAGAATAGATGGATTACTTATTGGTGCATCTAATAGATGATGCAATCTCGGCATGTCGAAAAGTGCATCAGCAGGCATTTCGAGAATGAGCTCGACGGTCTCTCGTCGCTCGTTTAAATCTCCCGGCGGATGCGCCGCCGTTCAAGAACACCGGAAGCCCCCGCGTAATTTTCTTCCGTGTCGTTGCGTATAAAATATTCCCCTCTGGCATCAGCTTTTTTCAACCTTTTCCCATTTGCTGCGCGAGATTACATGGGCATCGGTTGTAACCGATGCGCTCGATCAGGTTTCTTTTTTCTTTTCAAGATGGCGGGCCCAAAAGACGTAGACACGTCATCAGCAACCAAGATGGCGGACAGTTCCATCTCGTAACCAATTTCCTATACAAATACGACGCGAATGAAGGATCCGTGGCGGATAAATGTAAAACATTTTACTTGTGTAAAACTAGTAACCAAACGATTGGCCTTTTTTTATCAGTAGAATACGTTCTAATATAAAAATGGCCAAGAATGAAGATAACCGGTTTTGTGCACCAAAGTCTTCAATTGCTTGTCACTTTTCCGTCAAAAGCTAAATACTCCATAAAACCACAATAACAACCAAAATACAGCAGCTACTACTTTCTTGTACACTGAACACAAAGAATTATTGGAAATAAACAAAAGAAAAACACATTGATCCCAACCAGTGCACAAAAGGTCAATGACACAAGAGTCTTCAACTTTTATTAACAATATATTCTCAAGAACAACTCCTTTAAACGAATGAATACGAATAAAGAGAAATACGGTTCTAGAGTGCATATATTAAATGCGACGTTTATTAACACAGGCAGTCGAACAGTTTCAAGCATCGAACGGTTCAGGTATCCCGGTTTGGGAGTCGATCATAAAGTCGATCCGCCGCCATAAAGACAAAAAGCAGTTCGATAGTTCACCGTCGACGTTGCGTAAAAGATACGGTTATCGGGCGCGGCGTGGTGGTCCGGAGAAACTTTGAAATATTCAACGACTGGGATCGGTGGCGGCCGGTATGAATATAATCCCAGGTATTGTCCCGCAAAAAATTGATTCCTTCACGCGTGCCGGCGCGACCCCAAACCCCCTTTCCGTAACAAACACGAAAAATTAAATCCAGCGGCCAGTCCCTGGGCACCGGCTGAAATTAAATTGAACTTACAGGTGGCATCGACGAGCGGACACGAGTAATTTGAATTTTAAAGTGGACCCACGTTGGCTGGATCAGACCAGGCGTCTCTCGTTCCTGCGATATTTCGAGCCCTCTTTTGAATCCCGATTCTTCGTGCTCCCTTCCGTCATTTTGACCGTAATTCTGTCCTTGTTAAACAATTTGGTATAGGGGAAATTTTGCAGTGTGCTTGTAAAATGATTGTTGGGCAATTTTTGTCTAGTGATACGTTGTTGGAATTTTTGTGAGAGCTTGTCCAAGGCATTGTATTTGCGGACGGACTGGAATTGAACCGAGGAAATATTGACAGGGTATCGGTGAGTGATGAAGAATTTTTTTACAAGCTTTACGCAAGATTATGTCTACGATAGTGCATTGAGAATTATTGGAAATATTTAAACCTCTGCGGTTTCGATTACTGAGATTTATGTGTTTGTGAACGTGTTACGCGAATATGTTGATATTACACGAATTTATTTATTGACGTTCCTCGAAAGGACTATAGTCTTGAGAAATTGAAGAAAACATTATTATGTAAATTCTGGGTATTGTCCTGAGAGTAAATCAGATTTTATCGCTTATCGTTAGACTGCGGAAGTTTATACAAATTCATAATTTTCGGTACCAGTATCTAAAAATTAAAATGCGGCAGAATTTCACTTTCTACACTAGAGACTATACTACCTTAATAATAATACCTAAATAGTGTAAAACTTTATTAGAACCTTTATATTGTTCATTGCGAAACATTCAGTTTCTTTCATTATAGAAGTGGACAGACAGGAATAAAAATTTGCTGTACTTTATTCATTTCACCAAAAAGGCGCCCATGAAAGACAATGAAAAATGTCCATATAACCCCACACTAACCTCAAACGACGTTCAAAATATATTATATCCACCTAAAGAATCCTTCAAAATTGCAATCTATGTAATCTATCAACATGAAATTTATTCGTACATTTCTCGAAAACATAATATTCGATCATTCATTGGACTCAGCAAAGCCATAATATAACACATGCCAAATGTAAAAAAAAAAGGTACATTCGTTCGTTTCTACCGCTATTCGAAGTAGAAACGTCGGCTGTCTGATTAAGTAAACCGAAATCGCGTGAACCGGAAACAGAACAGAGTTGCTGTCTGATCCCCGACGGTCTTGTCGAAGGATTGCGCAATCACCGGTACACGTAGCCGTCCTGTGCGAGTTGCATAATTCCCTTTTGTGTCTTCGCCAAGCACGAAAATACTGTTACACGCGAACCGTTGCCCGTCGTCAATCTTAACAGGATTTCAGCGTCCTCGGGAACGACCTTTAAACCGCTTTTCACCTGCGATTACACAGGCCGTGCTGGAAAAACGTGACTGTTCTTCCTTACATAAATACATATACATATATATGTATCTGTTAGAAGATTTCAAGACGAATTCGGTAAATATCATAACATAACATGTGTTAGGCGTAAAAAAATTATAGGCGTATTTGCAAAAAATCGAAGGTGACCTCGAAAAATCATGAAAAAAAAAGAGTTGACAAAAAATTTGCTATAATCACGTTAAAGCTCTCTTAAAACCATGCTATACCTGGTAAAAACATTTTCGATCGGACTACTAATAACATAGTAATCTCTACTGATCACGATTCGTGGTTCACCCTGTATATACTTGTCCAATCATTCAGTTCGATGTAAAATACATTGTACATCGCGATGTAAGATTTCTCGTGATTGCATACGACTGACTAATTTGATGCGAGATACGTTGCAATTATGTCTACTTTGTTTCGCCAAAGCTGGTGGGAAGATTACGACAGGCAGTGTATTTACATTCTACGCGAAAAATTTTAGTACCACTCAATCAGGTAGAATGAAGAAGGCTGAGTTATTGTATAATTCTCCTGTTTACATACAAAAGTCGTTTATATTAAAATTACGTGAAAAATGAAACTGCTACAGGTTAGATCAGACTTAATCAAAACTTATTATTTATTTACGCTGTTTCACATTAATGTGCACTTGATAAAGTTTTATACCTGCATTGTTCTAACAGAGCCTTCCGTAGATATTTCATTTTCTTCCGAAATCTGTATATATTTCACTCATATCGACTACACATACAATTTTCTTCAAATTTACGTAACATTTCTAACAATTTCATGTGTAGATATGGTGCAGCTTTGAATATCCTGTATTTCGAACTAAGTATTTCGTCTCTCGCTGTCTATAGCTTCACCAACAACTAAGCCGTTCATTTGCCGAAGAAAGAAAGAACTCATTTTAAATATAAATGTTAAATATAAAAAATTTCAAAAAATGGAATTAATCACTTTGGCCTTTGAACGGCTGAATTAAAATGTACCATTAAAAAGCGATACAGACTTCTCTCGATTATCGTCCCGAACTCGGATTCGCCCCGGGACAATAATCGTATAGGGAGGAATGCTTCAAACCCTCATAAATTCGTTTTTTGTCCGAAGCCCGAGCCTCGACAACAAAAGCGAAGGGGTAACAAAGTACGCGCTTGACAGGTTCCACGGACTCCCCTCAGTGGTGGGGATAACGCCTGGACAATAATCGTGTAGAACACGGCAGACAATCATCGAGAGGAGGCTGTACTATCGATCTCTTCAAACTACAATTATCTATTGCGCCCTATTCTAAGCAACACGTTGATCGACATCCATTTTCACGGAGAGAAAAACCAATCGAAAATTCCAAGGTGGCGTCTCTCTGATAAATTACCAAGTATGCGACAAAACCGAGCATACATATAGGTATACCATAAAAAAAAATATCCCATTGATCTCTTCAGATTTTCATTTTCTATTGATACCATTCTAAACTATTCTCATCAACATCCTTTTCGACAAAAAGTCTAACCAACTGAAAACTCCAATATGGCGTCTCCCTGACAGATCACAAAGAATAAGTACACAACAAAAACGAATATACATATAGGTATACCATTTAAAAAACGATGCGATTGATCTCTTCAGATTTTCATTATCTATTGATACCACCTTAAGCTAGTTTCATCAGCATCCTTTTCGACAAAAAGTCTAAGCAACTAAAAACTCCAGTATGGCGTCTCCCTGACAGATCACAAAGAATAAGTACACAACAAAAACGAATATACATATAGGTATACCATTTAAAAAACGATGCGATTGATCTCTTCACATTTTCATTATCTATTGATACCACCTTAAGCTAGTCTCATCAACATCCTTTTCGACAAAAAGTCTAACCAACTGAAAACTCCAATATGGCGTCTCCCTGACAGATCACATAGAGAGTACGCGA